TGCAAGAATGTCTTTGGGGATGGAATATATCCTGATGTTGATGCAACCAATTTGTACTATGGTGGCACAAAAATTGCCGGTACTTTTTTGTTTTCTTTAAATTTTTAACTGTTGATGACTTGTATAAGCAGACTTGTATTAAATTTGTACTATTTGGCAGGTTCAAAAATAGTCTTTACAAATGGATCACAAGATCCATGGCGACATGCATCTAAACAAACTTCATCTCCGGACAGTAAGTTACACAATATCACTAATGCTTGTATAGAAATGGTGGGGGTGGGGGGGGTAGGGAGCGAGTAAATTTTCCATTTTGGCTAGGCGATAGAACAAACATATGCTGCATGAAGTGTTTTCCTGTTCCATTAGTACATCAAAAGATTGTATTTGAATATCAGGATCTATTGAGTAATTAACTGAAGCCTTCCTTTTAAATCTGTCAGTGCCATCTTACATTATCACTTGCCATAACTGTGGACATGGAACTGATATGCGTGGCTGCCCCCAGTCTCCTTTAATCCCTGAAGGTATGCATTGATTTTTGCCACCAACCGGGTCATTTTGAATCTAGCCGGTCTACCACTTGAAATAGTAGACAGCCTGGTGAACACAAAGTGGATCGAACCAGGCTCTAATACCATGTTATAATCTAAGATTAGGCCAATGTCACTCAACTGGGCTATAATGCACATGGGCCAACTACACTAAAAGACTGAATTCAATCAATTAGCTAGTCTAACCAATGGCCTTATAAACTCATATGTTCTCTCTTTATTTTTTCAATGTGGAATTCTTAACAATTTCCATTCCCAGGTGATGCCAAGAACTGCACCTCCCCAGACGAAGTACTCAAAGTAAGAAAACAGATCATAGAGCACATAGATCTTTGGTTGTCTCAGTGTCAATCTTCAGGTAGGAGCGCATGGTAAAAACACCGTGATATGATAACAGCTACTTTAACTTAGAAGCCTTTTTATGTCACTCTAGTACTCTACCAACTTCTAAGCCTGTTATAACCTTTGCCGACAGATGTTTAATTGATCGTCCATGAATAATGACGTATCTACAACTTCGTATGTGTATATCTCTTTTCATGATGACAGTTGTAATGATATGTGTATATTATTCCAATTTCCATGATAATTGTAATGTTGGATTTTGATGCCAGTGCTTATGGTATCTTTGTCAAGACTCGTCTTGTTGTACTATATCATTACACTATTGTAAGACCTATGGGCAATGGCTTTCTTGAGCATATTCCTTCTTTTCTGAGGAGGTTCATTTGTTTGGATTTCTTTTTGAGATGATGATATTATGGAACTTTTATGGGATTAATCCAAAACTACACATTCCAACATCTGAAAACATAAAGTGTTTCCTTGAAACATTGAAACCCCATTAAGTGCATGAACATAGTAAACCGCTAGAAGTACGCGTGCATTATATGAATACAAAAATTATGCAGTTTTTACTTTGCTACATTGCAAGTTGCTTATCATCCAGTGCCTGTGCAGAATTAGTAGGAATATCCTTTGACAAACATGCCTTCCTTGGCCTCCTCGGACTCGCCCTCACCGGTGTATTTGCCAAGCTGGGCAAGAGAGTTGGCCTGTGCTCTTAGGAGCAAAGCATCCTGAGCTGCCTTCACATTCTCTGGTCTTCCACCCCATGTCTTCAGGCATGTGTTCTGGAGGGCACGCGCATATGAGAAAGACACGTGCCATGGGTTGGGAGATTGGTTCATGGCATTCAAGTTGAGAGTAGCCTCCACTTCAGATTGCCCACCAGACAAAAACTATACAAACATGAAAAAGAAAACACTGATAACTTAGTTTACAACAACAGCAGAAACATAAGTACTAGGATTTCCATTTGTGTGTTTCTTGGATACTTGCCATGATTCCAGGGACAGCAGGAGGGATTCTGGTCTGGAGGAGCTTGAGGGTGTAAGCTGCAACTGTTTCAGGGGCAACTCTGTCTTTGCACTCGGCTCCTGGGGTAACCATGCTGGGCTTCAAGAGGATACCCTCAAACATGACATTGTTCTCTGCCAAGTAGAAGAAGACTTCAGCCCACACCTTCTTGGCAACCTCGAAGGTCCTGTCGATTCCATGTTCACCATCAAGCAAGATCTCAGGCTCCACAATGGGGACCAAACCATTGTCCTGTAAAAACAGATCTGTGATTCTCTTGTACGACAAACACCCTTTCCTAGATTTGATTTTTATGAATTCAGAAGTTACCTGAGAAATGGCAGCATAGCGAGCAAGACCCCATGCTGCTTCCTTGACTGCAAGTGCAGTGGGACCATTGGGAATGCTCACCACTGTACGCCTGTGAGATCACAGAGAATAGGTGAATAAAAGCACCAAATACCTTCAAGAATCGAATTCAGATATCAGATTTCAGATTTTTCATACCATTTAGCAAAGCGGGCGCCTTGTTGATAGTAAGCAGCAGAGCGGGAAGCAAGGCCATCAAGACCTTGGCACCAAGATTCATTGTTTGAGCCAGCCAAAGGCACAAGACCCTGCAATTTCCAGACATTATCAGATCAAGTAATACAACTCTGATTTTTCAATCTCACTTTCTCAGAGAACAAGATTCAGAACTGTCCTGTCTTGTATAAGGAAAAGAAGTCAGTACCTTGTCAACCTTAATACCAGGAACAATACCCTGTTCGGTAAGAACATCAACCATTTTCTTGCCCTCAACAGTGGACTGGTAGAGTGTCTCCTCGAAGAGGATGGCACCCGAGATGAACTTTCCAAGTCCAGGAGCTGAAACAAGCAGAGTCCTGAATGCTTGTCGGTTAGCCTCCGTGTTTTCTAGTCCAATGGATGCAAGACGCTTCCCACAGGTAGCATTCGACTCATCCATGGCCAATATTCCACGCCCAGGTGATGCAATTGTTTTCTATACACATATATACTTTCAGATTAGATATCTTTCTTTTATTATTCTTATAAATAATTCTCGATATCTATTAGGAACACTTTGGGCAATTGAGTTTACTAAATGACTGATACTGAAACACTGATGAGCATGCAGAAACTAGAATATAATCTTGAAAGTATAGGAGCTAGCCATAACCATGAAACATAGTTCAACAGAAGCAGACTGATGTATAAATAAGGAAAAACCATGAGAGTGAAATGAGTTGAGGGTTGAAATAGTACCGCGGTTTTGACAAGCTCATCAGCATAGGAAGCACGAATGCTGAAACCCGAGGAGGCTGCAGGGTGGCACCGGACGAGGGATACTGAGGGGTGGCGGAGGGCCTGTCCCTTCAAGAACTCAGTCTTGTCGAGAACTGGAGATGACTTGAGGAGAGATGCAGATGTTGAAGCCATCGTTTTGTTGCTTCTGTAGTAGGAACACCGAACGCTTGGTGAGGTGAGGACTGAGGCTTATCTTTCTCCTCTGCTCTACTGGCTAGCGTTTTTTGTGTTCAACACTGCAGGGGTATGCTCACTGTATTTATAGTTCCTGGGAGATATACCATCTGAGGCCATGATAAGCTGGCCAATCGCCCTGCGCCATGTGGGTTGATAACTTGCTTACTTGGCATGACTCTAGTCTCTAGAGAAGGTTTACAACTTACCCTCTTTGAACACAAATCAGTGGTTGGCTTTGAAAGTCTATGATCTCATTTTTCTTCTTGCTTACACTCAACCACATATTATAACATTTTACTATTTCAAAATTTTGGAACCAGAAAGTGAGAAGTGAGCATGGTGGCTTAAGAAACTCGCTACCAGTTTTGTGTCCAATTAATGCCACAGCATAACATTAGATCCAATGGTTGGCAAAGACCGAATGAGTTAAGTCGAGTATCTTGCCACTGTACAAATGAATGATGTTGCATCTTTGTTATGGACTATAAAACACTTGATTCTAACACGAACAATATCATTCAATAATATCAATAATTGATTCACATTTAACCCCAACCGCCCCTACGACCACCTTGTTATGACTTCACACCAGTCTTTCAAGTCATATTATGAACCCCAACTTCCAAAGGCATTTTCGGGGCCTAGCCTCCCTCCTTAAGAAGAATCAATGTGAAACATTTAGTAAGTGGACTACTAATGGTCTAATGTAACTGCAAGATTAGAAAATTGATTTTTATTTGTCGTGTGCACCATATATAAAGTAAGAGTCAAACACTAGGCGCAATCTTTCATTAAAATTGAGCTAAGATCATAAAATTTCCAAACATGAAAATGTTACACCAACACCATGTTAGCAACAACTAGTAATGGTAAAGCATGGAATTTGGCCAAGTTATTTGTATTTTAGCAAATATGGAAGAGGGCTAATCACAGCCTTTCAAAGGGAAGTTGATTTGAGGAGATTGATGTTTCCCCAGAATGATTCTATGAACAAGAGAGGAACAGCAAACACTTTCCTTTCAACCTGGGTCCTCCTAAAAAACTCCCAACTATCTGCCAGAATCCCCTTCTTCACAAATGAACGGCCTAAAAATAACCCCCATATACACCCAAACATGCAGTCCTTTCTACCACAAAAAGATCTCCCACAGTTTATGCTGACTAGAATTCAGAGAAAAAAGATGAATTTAGAGACAACGAAAGCAAGTCGCGTGAGTGGCCCAAAATCATTAATGCCAAATAAAGTTTCTCACAACCAATGACACAAACCCCCTCTAGTATGGAAAACCAATCTGACCAACACTTTGCCCCTTAATTGGGTCGGTCAGTGTGAGTATAGTACGGGCTTAAAGGTGCCTCTTACAGTTAGAGTCTGCTCAGTACACTTCATGGCCTGACCAAAAAAAGAATGACACGACCCATTCAATTGCATAGGCACAATCGACAACAATGACTAGTATAGGCTGTTGCCTGTGTAACAAAAACTTAAACACCCATTGCAGATCAAGAAACTAAGCATACAGATGTCCACACAAACACAACAATGCACCAACAATTCTTGATCATAGGTTAACTATGTATTGCCTTGATAATAACCAGAAAAATCGAGAATGTGCATTGTCGTTTCTAATCAAATGGGTGGACTCAGTTAAGAAATATATATTTATAAACTGCAAACTTACATTCTGTTTCAAATGTCAGAGGCAGTACCCCCGGTCTTACCTCTATCAACTTACAAAATTGGAAGAAAGTAACAGAACCCTATATGAGATAAGTGGAAGAAACCCACAACAGCACATAGGTTATCAGTGAAGTTGTAACCTCCAAACTCCTGGGGCCTCTAAGTATAGGTGGGATTACCGATACCATCAAGAACGTTCCTAACAGCCACGAGAAAATAAAAGCGCCAACCCTGCAACAAAAGGACATCAGAAACCAATACAGATAGAGGACTTTAAGGACTAAAGGAGTTTCAGGAAAGCATTTAGCACTATCGTGCTTCACAGCTTCTTTTCATAATTAATCATGTGAAACGAGACTTGCTATAATGTTATTACCCAGCGGTGTCAGATTATGCCATGCTAATGAGCAAAAACTCACACATGTGTTCACATTTGGCTTAGACAAATATTTACAGAAATTCAGCAAAGAGAGTATGATAATTAGCATACCCATAGAGAAAAGCGCGAAGTTTGGTCTTTAGCCGGTCATAAATGAAATACACGGTAGTGATCAGGGAAATGGCTACTTGAAGAGTTGGACCTTCATCAGTTGGAAAGAGAACTGTAATAGCTCCAAGAACAATGAAAGCAATGGAAGTTTTCATCAAGAAAGATGTTGCCGGCTCACGGAACCTGCTTGCAACCAACTGCACAGCCTTAGATTGAGTTACTTCCCTGACCTTTTTCTTAATATTTATTTTTGGGTTCTTCCTTTCATGAAACTTTTGCATAATTATCTTATCATGGGCTGATTCAATCGCATCTACACTTGGCTTATGACCAGCATATCTTTGTATTAGGAAGTTTCGAGCTGATTGGATTTCTTCTTCAGAAGCCTCCCTGCTGATTCCAAGTCGTTTGTATGGATCCATTACGTTGATCCTAGGAAAAACAGCTACACTCAAGAAAATTAGAAGGCAAAGGCTATTGACATTGGGTAATAACAAGCTGGAAAGTCACATCCCTTGAGAAAGACAAATCTAAAGCACAAAGTAGCCAAATCAAATATTTGTCCTTATGATTCAAAACCCAAACTGAACAACATCTTTCAAACAAATAGTATTAGTCAAGGAAAATGCTTTAAATCTAAAAGAATAGCAGAATCCAATTTACCAGCAGCATCGCCCATGGAATCACCATAGGAAGCAGACATTGAACACTTGATTAGAGGACTTCGTTGTATGTTACATTTCCTTGTAACGTCAGCCCAGCATCTTCATGATTAATGAGATGAAAACAAGCAGTTATAATATACCCAATCAATTGTAAACCATTTTTAGAATAAAATCATAATGGAGCAAATACCTAGTTCTCGATACATTAGGAAATACCAGGACCCTTTTGCTAGGCAAACCAAGACATCGCACAGGTAGATGAAGGTTGTATCTCAATGGGCTAGCAGTTAACCCAGACATATTCATTGCAGGTTACAAAGCGGTGAAACCACAGACACTATGAAGCTGCAATAAATTTGCACTAGAACTAATTAAAAAGCTGCAATAAGTAAGCAAAACAATAGCTAAACTGAAGGAAGCAAAAGTTGAAAAAGCCCAAAATCCTAAATATGAAGCTAAGTTCTATTAACATGATACTAGTATTTTTCCAACACTATGCAGGTGAAAAATCTCAAAATGGTAATTTGGTATTACCAATGAATACAAAAGGTAATTTATGAAAAAAACATTTTTGTTAAAAAAAGTGAGTAAATTATGCACAAGCAGTCACCCACTTTACAGGAATGGATCAACAGTTAGATAGAGTGATAGACCTTTTAGACCACCAAAAACCTCCTAAGTTCACAAGCATGTCAATTAGATATTAATCCACAGGAAAGTGGCGTTCCATTACAGAACAAGAATGGCTTATTAGTACTCTTACTAAATGGGTTCAGTAACAACTGATGTTCAATTAATTAACTTTCCCTAACTCCACATTCCTCCACCCTGTCGGCCCATCCCTCTACAACCACAGTATGAAAAAGCAAGAAAAATACATTCAAAAGATAAACTTTAATGTGGGTATGATCAATGTTGCAAAAGGCGCTAGTCAGGCGCCGGGGGGGCGCCTAGCGCCTAGGCAGTGCATAGGTGCCTCCTAGGCGGCCGAGTAATCCGAGATTCCGAGTATATGTCTCTACTTTTCCCACTCAGGGCTAGGAATTATTAGACTTTTATAATCCCCCAAACTAGCCAACTGCATATGTTAGATGATTAGTTGAGTACATGACTCGGGAAATATAGAAAAAGAGTAGCCGCGCAGGCAAAAAAAAAACACTCCCCAACTTGGCCGCTCAACTCGGCCAAATCGGCGCCTAGTTGGCCAGTTAATCGGTCAACCGACTAAAAGCCGCCTAGGGATGAAATCACCTCAGTCTAGGAGCGCCTAGCCCCTAGTCCGATTTTTACAACACAAAATATGTGTGAAGTTTCAAGCTACATTGTCTAGTGAATGAAAAATCTTGAATTGAACACAGAAGGCATTCGTGGAAAGCTGCTCAGTCATGAAATAATCTACAAATTACACAAAATATGTTGTTGAAACAGAAATAGCAGACATATGAAAAGGAACACCAATTTTCCACTACACTACTGACAGTGAACACAAAGAAACCAATTTAAAGTAGCAACCAACCATTTCAAAATAACATTCAACCGCACCAGAACACTGCTTCCCTTAGAAATTCTAAAGAAAACAGGAACAAGAAAACGCCCTTTGCTATGAAGATTTCAAGCAAAAATTTATTCATTGTTTTATGATTCGTTTAACTATGAAAATCGTGAAACTGAGATATGAAGAACGCGCATACGTTAAAGAAAATTAGAGCAAAATGATGAAAAGGAACCTGGCTCTGACTCGTTATGCTATGTTCTTCTCCTCTTCCTTCGACTCGCAACGAGCATTTCAACTTCAACAATGGATAGGACTTTGAGAATGTCTCAACCAGGGTTTTGGCGCTTTGGGAAGTTATTTTATAGAACTAATATATAAAAGAAAACATTTTCACCAATTTCCGTTGTAGTCTAGTTGGTTAGGATATTCGGCTCTCACCCGAAAGACCCGGGTTCGATTCCCGGCAACGGAAAAGTTTTAATCATTTATTTTTCTCATTCCGTATATTACTTACAAAATTCTTGAATAGCGTAAGTGGTTGGGTTATTCACTTGTTTTGTAAAATGTAAATATGAAACTCGCAAATTATGCTGTGGACCACATAAATATTTATTTTTAATATGTTAAAAATTTATTATATTTAAAAATAAAATTTCAGTACACAAACAAAAAACACTTAATATATTAAAAAGGAACATTTATAACTGATTTACCTGTAAGGCTTTTTAATGTGCTAAAAAATCATTTTTACATAATATACTTAAAAATAAACTTTCAATACACAAAAATAAGCATTCAATATATTAAAAATTAATTTTTAGTATATACTAAATATAAGTATATGACTCAAGATTTTGGGGTGTAGCTCAAGATTTCTACCGTCAGACATAGTGACTAATCCCCCTAAATTGTAAGCATAGCCCTTGACTTTTGGTTAAAGATGGATAAATCTCTTCCACTTAACCACACCCCACAGGTTTAAGCATACGACTCTATGGTAATGGTATAATGATTGTGGAAGTGCTAGTTGGCTGAATCGGCAAGTGACAGTAGTAGTTAAGGTAATCATAGACTCATAATAATTATGAATAAAGTCCAATGTATGTTTCTGTACGAAAAGATCATTTTCATTTACTAACTAAAAATTGGAAAACATATTTTTTTCGATGTCCTCTAGAAAGCAATCCTCGGTATTATGTTTTCTAATTTAGAACACAGTATCTCCACTTAGGTTATTCAAATTTTCAGGGAAAACATTGCAGCCACATCTCCAGTTCTCCACACTGATCGATTCTTCATTGTAATACACAAACTTGGGTCAGTTAAATCACAACAGCTTGGAGACCATACAACTACAACCAATGTGTCATTCCACATATGTACAGATTTAATCAAATACACAATTTCCCCAGTTAGGTGCTATGATCTTGGCATTAACTATACAATAGAAGAAAGCTGTATATATAGTATATATAGAGACACAGACACTTCCACCGCGATTGCAACCAGGACACCGGGCATGCTTTCTTCTGGAAATCATGATTTACGATTCCAACCCGAAGCCTGCAAACAATCGCAAGTAGCAAAAATCTTATATTGCAATATTTTCCACACAGTAAACAATGAAAGTTCTGCCTGTTTTATCAGACGTATATTATAATATAATTGTTTTTTCCTATGTAAATAAACCCACCATTATAAATCATGACTGAAAGAGCGTTACGGTAGCAATGTGGCCATTCTTCATCACCTGTATATACATCAGCGGAATCAAGTTCCCAGGAAGTTCAAACGTTGTTGGATGCGCATAAACAACGATACTAATGACAAGGTATTAAGTTAAAGTGCCAACTACTATGTAGTGTGATGGCACCTCTGTTACCATTCCAAATGAGTAGTCACAGGATCGAACCCCCAGGTGGGGGCATTGATTATTTGGGCTGAGAAAGTATAGAACAGATACTACCTTGTAAAGAATCATGTGTTTAAAAAAAAAAAAAAAAAAAATTAAGTTGAAGTGGTTCACCTCAAACGCAACATTTGGATAACCATACACAAAAGTAGACCCGAATGGGTTGCTCGTGGAGCCTTGTGTTTGAATAGCCGCTTGACCAGAGTCCCCGAGTATTTCCTGTATCCAAAACATCAAAATCAATGGACCGACTTATACATATAAAGTTTTGAAGCGAATGTTAAGGCCGGTTAAAGATACAAGTTTACAAGCCGTACCAACTGATCACAATAGAAGGATTTAAGATGGCACTAAAAAACTGAAGGATTCGGGCCATAACTATATTATATGAATTACTTCTCAAAAGGAGATTCTGCCTTGAAAAATCCAAACTATGGTTGAGAAGAAAATATTAAATATATAAACAAATGATTCACCTTAACTTGTTCCCACTTTGTGCTGGGTGTAATAGAGTTCTTAGAGTTCACTTCATGATCAAACGAATCCCCAACTGCAGGTAATTTGGAAGAAAATCACAAAACTAGTTCTATATATTCTATATATAAATATAAAGCGGGAGCAAGTTCAAGAAATAAACTTACAATCAGAAGTGTGGATAACAAAGTTGCACTTCATGTAAGAATTAAAATCTGCATGCCCGGGATAGTTGGAGTGCAAGACAAACTTCTTTATTTTATGAGTCTGCACAACAATTTTTTTTTTTTAAACATAACTATATATACTTGTAAACTTGCAATAATAGTTTGAGATCGTAATCTCGTGAAGGTACAAATATGAACAATAAGTTACCTGCCCATCGAATAAAATGTCTAATCCACGTGTAAAGTAATTATAAAAATAATCTCCACAGAGGGTAGTCCGAGGCCGGGGATCTGAAGCCGAATGAATCACCATTTGATCAACCTGTGGATCTCACAAAATCAATCCCCATCCATAGCAAGATCAACAAACCTCGAGGTGCAATGTCTACAGTTTCGAAAGGATAAGTTTGTTCATACCTGTTTTTGGTGAATTCCACAGGGTCGGCCTAATTCAGTCCATATATCCTGCAGAGAAGCAATAAAAGACAAATAACTATGTTTACATTCACCGTTGATCATAATATCCAAATTGGAGCAGATGACAAAATTCCAAACATTTCAAGTGGACTTTCAGTTTGAAATACATGCACAAGTGAAAATCAAAGGCCCGGCACAAAATATAGAAAACCATGAAGTAATCAAACGAAAGACGTAATACCTGTGGTGAAGCACCAAACGGAATGTGTTGGCCACCGACCGTAAACCATAATTCTTCCCCTAGCTGGGCACATCGAGAATTAGCGTGCTCAATTACTTTCAATGGGCACATTAAAGAGCATTTCTATCAAACAAATAACTAAAACTCAAATGGACTTTATTCACACCATGCATCAGGTTTGAGGTAAGACCTAAGTCCCAAGCCGATGTTTTTCAATTTTAAGACTGTTATGAACTAAGATTGGGCCAGGGTTACTCAACTGGGCTATAATGCACATGGGCCAAACCACACTAAAAGATTGAATCCAACCAATTAGCTAGTCTAACCCATGACCTTATAAACCCATATATTCACTCTTATTTTATCAATGTGGGACTTTTAACAAAGACATACAATTTAGCAAGACTAACTCCAAAATTTTCTCTTGGAAACTGACAAAATGCATATACTAGTAACAAAATAAATAGCAACATAAGTCCTGAAAAAGGAAAAAAAGGTTTTAAAGTAACGAACCTTAACACGCACTTCCTCCATATAAAGGCTTCCAGCGGGCAAAGGAGGAGCACAAGCCTTGTCCATCGAGGACCCCACACCGACTTTACTGCCCGTAGAACTATCGTATATCGAGACACGACATGTAACAGGAGTTGTGCCATCAGGGAATTCCAGAGGCAGTTCCGCTAAATATTTAAAAAAAAAAAAAAAACAGACAGATAAGCACCAGAAAGTTCCGTAATTTAACAAATTTTTCAAATAACCCGTCAACAAAACACCTTCTCCATCACGACAACATTCTGTATACTGTGAGGGAATTGGGAAAGCAAACGACAACCCCTGTAAATTATCGTCCAAGAAAAACCTCGTAAGTACATCGATTGACAGATACTATAAGATAGGAAAAGAATAAAGCCTCATTTCATAACTGTCATCAATACGTACCGGGTAAAATAACGTGTAAACACCTCTGTCTTTGTCATACTTGCCAGGATATGTCGGACCAAAAAGAGCATAAACGGCAACAAAAGTGGCTAGGGTGGATGGTCCTCTAAAAGAAAGATGAGAACAAATTAGACTTAGTTAACAGAATTGATCAAATATATATATATAGAAAAGGAGATAAAGAAAAACCTACCCAATCAAAGAGGTAGCATAACGCATTTGAAGCCGTTTCACATCAAAAATTTCAATAAGACGCAGTCTCTGACAGAGAACAAATTAATATCAATAAGTCGTGCTTTGATTATAATCCCATATCAGCCATTGCTATAAATGGCGATATCTTAGTTGAAAAGCTAAAATTGCCATTAAACACCTCAGATCTACATTGTCTAGAAAAAAACTCAACTGCAAAATATAATAGAGGATAATTTCTAGAAAGAGTACCTGTGACCAAGGATCAAAGCGAAGATGAAAGCCATGGTCCGGGAAGCTGATAACAATATCAAGTTTTAAAGGATCCTGCAGGAAACAAAAAATAAATGCCGGAAGACTGTTGAAAGAATTTTTAGATGTCAAAGGCATCACAGAGAAAGTTGTAACTATAGTATATGGTCTATTGTAGAAGAATGGATTTATTATATATATAAACTTAACCCCAAAAGATTCTCACTGAACCATACCTCATCGTAATGCTTCACGTGAACAACATCATAAATGTTAGGCTTCTGCTCTATTTGAGCAAAGGCCTCGCAAATCGGCATTCCTGCAAAATCACAGGCAATTAGTACAAGTCAATGAACAACTAAACATAAGCAAAATCCAGCAAAAACAATAAACAACTTCACTAAGCACCAAATTCAGCACTTTCCCTATCTATCACCTTGTATTATTATTACTTGAAAAGGAAAAAAGTGTTAAATAGACTACTTGACTTTTCGCTTTTGTGCAATTGGGTCACTGAACTTAAAATGTGAGCAATCAAACCATCAAGGCATCAAACAAGCAAAATATGTACAATTAGAACATTTTTCCGATTGCTTTTAATGCAATTTGAGTTAAAAACATTTCAATCTTTACTCTCAACTAATATGGTAGACCTAAAAACAACTCTTAGTGCATACCATATAAGCATATATGATCGGAAAAATTG